ATGTCCTTCTAGCCAAGCTTTATAATGATAAGGTAGAGATCTTTCAAAGCTTGAATGTCCCTTTTTATTACAACATCATGTCCATTTGGCAAGAGCTTTTTCATGCTCAATTATTCATTTTAATGGACGTGTCATGTCTAATTATCCAAGCTATATATTGGCCTAATCGTGAACTTTTCATACTCAATTCAGCTTTTTTTTTTTTTTAGTGGAGTCGGTCACCTTTTGCCATGCCTTGCCTTTCTAGCTAAGTTGCTCTAGTGCTACTAAGTTTTAGCTTGTACAAGCTCAAAAAAATCACCACAAGAGGTTTTCAAATTTTAAATATATGAATTTTGATTATGAAAAAGAAAAAAAAATCAATTTCCTCATTACTAGTTGAGTGCTTAAGAAACTTTTTTGCTCTCTTAATAATCTATGGATAAAAACTCAAGGATGAGTTAGGAAGAGCATATGAATGGTTGTATCTTCACATTAGATTTTCCTGTATCAAAATATAGATCCAAGTATTTGCTTAAATAATGGCATCAAGAACCCTATCAACTTTAAAATTGATCCATAAATACACTAGTTTTAGGAATCACATGTGATAAAATTATTGAAGTTTCCAAGCTTGAACTTCCCATAAATATGTTTTTTTTCCCTCGAGGATTGCCTTCCTACCAAACATTAGCCATTCTAAAAAAAAAAAAGAAAAAGGAAAAAAAAAACCACTAAAACATATTTAATGTGAGGAATTAGGAGAGAGCATTTTAGCTTGAATTTAATATGAAGAGCCTATGAATTGTTGTAACTTCACATTAAATTTTGCTTCCCTTTTTTCTTTTTAGGATATCAAATTAGAACTCATAGAAAAAAAAATTTAGTATAGAGGAAAAAACAAACCACTAAAATGCTCTCTCCCAAAAACCTTTTTATTTCGGAACAAGAGTGGTACCTTGGTAATTTTATTAATATCGTGGAAAAATATAAGGGGGGACAAACCAGTCTTACCTAACATAATGAATGGAAAAGGAAACATAACCCCTAAAAAGTAGGATTACTTCCTATAATGAAACAACCACCCCATGTTATCCCGCCTATTTGCTATTTTTATAGCCATTGGTAAATCTAAAAAAAGGCTATAATTACAATCAATCCCATATTGTAAAGCCTTGTTTGCCAACCTATCCGTTACCATGTTCGTTCCCTCCAAACATGTGTAATAATATGATTACTTGTTAAATTTTGACTCTCTCTAAAAACATAAGTGTGTGACCATGACACCATATTAAATCCTAGAATGGTGTTAGTGACCATTAGAGAATCTAATTCAATTAGTACCGAATCCAAGGATAAAGTCCTATAGAGTAATAAATCATCCCTAAGAGTAAAAGATTCTACCTTGGTATTAGTGCTTTCCCCATAATATCTTGCAACACTTGGAATAATTTCTCAAATCTTACCTCCACTAGAGTAAAAGCCATCCTTATCCGATGCATCCATATTTAATTTAAGTTATCCTTGATTCAAAGGTTCCCATTTTAGCCATTTCCCCCTTAATAGTTTCAGCTGAACAGTGCACAATACCAAGTTTCAATAATTTCTTCATCCCCATGATATTCATTGGCATTTTTGGGTACACAAACTACACACATATGACAATTCCACTTTAACTCGTCTAATAATCTCATCTACTTCCTTTGAAATATCCTCATACTTTGCTTTACATCTATTTTTCTAGATTTTTCATATGACAAAGCAAAAAGTACTAACTTGACACATACTTGATTGAGTAGAAATCAAAGTAAACCAAAGACGAGCACATGAGTCTAAGGAATTAAGGAAGTTACGAATGCCAAAGATGCTACCAAAATACTCCTAAACCTCCAAAGTAATTCGAGGCTGAATAAATAAATACTTTATTATTTCTTCCCTCTAATAAAGATAGCATTGACAACTTAAGGTTATAGGAATTTAAAGTTCCTTTATTCTTAAGTCCATAGGTAGAGCACCTCTAAACCATTTTGAAATGAAACCATTTGCCTATGGAGGGATGCATGGATTTTAAATTCTAGTAGCCCATAACCAAACAAGAGGAGGGATTTCAATAATGACTCCGTAAAGCTTTAGTCTCAAATACACTTATTTTAGTTAAATTACAAACCAATTTGTCATCAACATTATCATCAAAACAAAAGTACTTTACCTTAGAATGATGTTAGTTTGGTATGAAATAGAGAAACTTATCCAACTCTTAGAAAGCCTTCCTTACTTTCAAATGCTTATCAAAGGGGAGTGGAGGATTCAAAAACTATCACACCAATGAGCACTCCAAAATGGAATTTATCATTTACCGATTATCTATAGACTACAAGAGTGTAAAGTTGGGCAAATAATGCACAATAGCTTTCCAAATATGCAAAGAGACATTAGTACTTCTACCTATGTCCCCATATTTTGCATAAAGATATCGAGCCCAAAGGCTTGATCTTTGTTAGTAAGACTAGGCTAATTTTGCTTGAAGAGCACCATTACTCGTCCCAAAGTTGTGATCACCAAGCTAACTTCTCTCGAAGGTTTACAAATCCGATTCCAAAATATCCAACAATGATGATTCTCTCCCGAAGAGCTCCTAAGGAAATTTGACATCATACTTTCAATACATTAAATAGTTCCCTTAGGCACGGGATTGTCGTCATCACATGTATTGAAATGCTAATTATAACTCGCCTTTAATAAATTTAGATGAGCCCAAAAAGGCAATAACTTTGTCTTCCATCCTACAAATCTCTATTGATCTTCATTTCTAAAGGATGAAAATAGATTTTTTGGATTCGACCAACAAACAAACGTATCTCTAAATATTGCATAGAAAACTAAAGATGTCTATAACCTATTTAGTGCTTAATAGTAGTTATTCTCTAGGATAATATATGCTTTGGCATGTAAAACCCATTCTTGGCCACATTCGGAAGTCGTCCCAAGTACTCCTCATACCTCTTGAGCAATCCTTTCAATTGCACTAAGGATCTCTTTGAACCATTTGTAACCAGCAACATATCATCTAGATAAAATATGTGAGAAATAGACAAAGAACTCCAACCCACCCGATATGGCTGAATATGTCCATCTTTTATTTGTCTCTTCAAATTCATTGAAAGAACTTGCTCGCACTAGAGTGAAAAGAAGGGGGATAAGGGATCTCTTTATCTAACCTCTCTACTTGGACTTTAAATACTCAAAATTCCTATCCTAAATTCTTATAGTGTATCAAACTTTACTAATGCATCTATACACTAAATCACACCATGCATTATTAAAATCCATTTCTCTCATCATTTTAAGTAGAAATGGCCACTCAATCTCGTCATATGCCTCGCAGATATCTAATTTAAAAATTACATTATCTCCACAAGCTTTCCTACTCAAAGTTGTAACCAACTCTTGAGCTAAGGACATGATTTTAATGATGCTATGACCTTTTACAAAACCAACTTGTTCCCGATCAATCAAATTTGGAAACACAAAAATTAACCTAGTTTTTAGAATTTTTGATATTATCTTACACCCAAAAGTGGATAGACTAATAAGGCGTAAATCACCATGTCGAGAAGGATTACCAACATTTAGAATCGGAACTAAAATAATTAAAGACATACCTCTAGAAAAGTGCCCTCCTTTGACAAAATCTTGAACTGCCGTAATAACTTTATGGCATATGACATCCCAACGAACTTTCGTAGAAATGTCCCGTGAAGCCATCCCAACCTAGAGCACTAAAAGAATTCAATCCCTCTACCGCATCTAAAACTTCTTTCTCCAAGGGAACACCGACGAACCGGTCATTAACATCATCCGTGATGCTTTTATCAATTCCTACAAACGACGACTCACAACTCATTGTAGACCCGGTCGTGAAAAGTGTTTGGAAATACCTAACTACTTCATTCCCAATGTCAAACATGTCCTCCACATAAGTACCATAATCTAAAGATAGTTTTTTTTTTTTTTCATTATCTTTGATACAAGCATGGAAGTATGTTGTATTCCTATCCGTCTCTCGTAACCCATTTAATTCTAGTCCGATGTCTTAACATATTGTAATCCCATCGAATTAGTCGATCCAACTCCAATTTTTTATGAACTAATTGACTATATGATCATCCCAACCATGAGTCAAGCTTGAATCCAGACCTAGTTATATCATCTTGCAACGCTTCCATCTTCCTTCTAGTATTCCCAAACACTTCTCGCTCCACACGCTACCCAAAACCTCCCCTCCCCTTCTACCACTTAAGAACCCCAAACAACCTACCCTTTCCCCACCAAAAAACCCAATCCCATCTCAAGCTCTTTTTACAGCAGTCCACAATTTCTATTTTGAGAGATTTCCTTATTAGATTGAATTCGGGGATTTGATAACAACTTTTGTCCAGATTGGAGAGGTTTTAGATTTGTTTGTTTCAAAAAAAAAAAAAAAAAAAAAAGAAACCCTAAGCTAGGGCGGAAATTTGGGTTTGTAAGTTTGAAGATCATCTCGTTACCAGACCACATGTTGTTTCAACTTAATAATCTATGGTCCGGAACATATAACTATATAAGCTACGTGCAAATGCTGCACGATTCAACAAGAGGAAGAAATATCAGAATGCAATAGCTACTCCAGCAAAGGAACAGATTACTCATCAACAGAGAAAGGAGCGTTCAAGAAAATCTTATAATATTCGATGATAGATCTTATGCGGAGGTTTTGAGCCATTTGCCGAGCCCTATAGATCTGAGAGAAACTTCTGCTGATTTTAAGACGGATGAGACAGAACAACCATATAAAAATAAGCCTCTCGATCGAAAAAACAAAAAAATAAAAAAAATAAAAAGATTTCAGTTTCCTAAGTTACTAAGGAAGAGGATTATGAAATGGTTGAAAAAAAAAAAAAAATCTTAATTTGTGTTATTTGTACTTGAAGGTTTGCTCTCCAGTTTTTAAAAGCTTCGAATTCTAAGGTGCTTCACAAACCATGATCACCTATGCCACTGAGACATACATGTTTCAGGCTTTATATAATTCGAAATTTGTTCTGGACTTGTTCTGTAAGGAGGTTTGCCTTTGGATTGTAACGGATGGTGCTCGTGATAGATTTTGCTGGCTAGAAATCCATGGCTTACATTTAGTTGCATGGACTGTAAAATGTCTTACTAGAATTGTGTCTCCTCTAAGAAGCATGGTTGGTTATGATAGGTTAAGCTTCTGTTTCTCTAATTTATCTCTTGTTCATCTCCTTAATGTTCGAAAAGTCTATTTTTATGGACAAAATAGCAACATAGAGTGACGAAGAAAGGTCTTCTGATCTGCAGAAGGAGAGACCGAGATAGAAGATGATGATGTGGTTGCTACGGTGGGTTATGATGAGGCAGTTGATGTGGAATATAAGCAAGATGACATTGGTCTAATCATATCTGAGTGCGCAGGACTATTAAAGCAAGCCTTTGTTGTTGACACAAATTCAAATTTAAATTGGCTGAATGATAGCATACGGTTTCCTGAGTTAATTACGGCTATTCAATGCAATAAAACGGTCAGCTACACATTTAAAGCCGCAGCAGGCAAAGTTCCTAGAAGTTTGTAGTTTGGGTGAAAGTTTGGACGGTTTGGACCCTGTTTGTAATGGGGCAAGGTTGGAGCCTACTAGGTTATTGGACTCATCTTGTGATGGGCCAACAATAGTTGATCATTACTACTCCAGTTCTATATTGCCTAGAAGAGTCCAAACTGATGTCACGCACAAAGACAAGGTTGCGCTTTTCTCTTCCCACATTCAATGCTGTCCGGGCTTCTTTCTAAATAGGAAATACCGTAGGGTTAAAACACTGAACCTTAGAGACAGCAGTGTGGATAGCGATGGAAAGTGCAGCGTGGAATCAATGGATTCATGTATTTTGAATGTAAACACACGTCTCCTGCACTCAAAATTCCAAAACATCAACGTTCAAGAAGCTGATAGTCTAGACAGTCCTCTTAACTCAAACAAAGTGAGAACTGAGGTAGCTAATAGCTTATATGTTGGTGAAATCTAAGGAATACATGTCGATGCTTAGAGAGAAGAAGCAACTACAACTATCAGGAAGCAAATGAATAGAAAGGAGAGGGAGTGGTACAGCTTGACTGATTTCTTTACAGCATCCTCTTTTTCAGTCAGGCATTACTTTCCTTTTTATGTCAATATTTTCATGGAATTATAGAGGGTTAGATGGTGTGAGTAAGAAGAGACGAGTTTGGGATTTAATCTTTACTTATCAAGTCGATATTATGTGCTTGTTAGAGACAAAATTAAGTGATGTTAGAGATAACATTTTTAGAAGCTTATGGAATGATCATTATGTTAGACGGTCTTGGTTCTTTCTGAGGGTAGGTCTGGTGGTACGATTGTGACGTGGAATGAATAAAAATTCATAGCGAATTCTATTAAATATGGGGGACATTGGGTGGCTCGATTTGGTAAATTCGTGATTTCAGACTTGAAATATGGGGTAATTAACGTGTATGCTAATAGAGATTCTGATGGTAGGAAAATATTATGGGAGGACCTTTCTTTGCTTAAATTCGCTTATGATGTTTTATGGATTCTACTTGGTGACTTTAACTACACTATAGCAGCATGTGATAGAATAAGTGGTTTGTTGAATAGGAGTGGTTCCCAGGCTTTTAGTGATTTTATTGAAAAGGCAATTTGATCGAGTATTTTTTGACGAGTCACCGTTATACTTGGTTTCATGTTGGTTCCTTGAGCAGAATTGATAGGGCTTTTGCAAATCCTGACTTTATGCTTCAATTTCCAAATAACAAATTGGTTGCTCTCAGTAGAGGTTCATATCTTATCATTATCCAATTTTTTGGGATCTAAAAGAATGAATTGGGGTTGGAAACCTTTTCGATCTTTAGACTTCTGGTGGATGGATCATGGTTTCAAGTTTAGGGACTTTGTGGAATAAGGTTTGTGTTGAGGAGCTGTATAGATACAAAATTATTAACAAACTCAGCCCTCTTAAAGGCAAGTTACGTCAATGGAACAACGTATCATTTGGTAACCTAAATGATAGTTTAAAGATTCTTGAGAATGATATTCATGATTTGGAGTTAGTTTGAGAAGCTAGAAGTTTGATCCTTTCAGAGCATGACACTCTCAAAAGTTATCAAGTGAGATTTTGAGACATAAATAGAAAGTTAGAATCGTTATGGAGACAAAAGGCAAGAGCTAGTTGGTGTTGATTGGCTGATTGCAACTAAATTTTTTCACTTGTCAGCTTCAATTAGTGGGAGAAAGAACTTCATCACTAGAATTTTAGTTGGTGATAGAAGTTTATAGAGTTCTTCAAAAATTAAGAGGGGTGTTGTTAATTTTTATTCGGCATGTTTACTAAAACATCCTTTTATCGACCTTCAATGGGTGCTTAGGGTTTTAAGAGATTGAATGATTCATCTCGCTTTTAACTTAAAGAGGTCGGTTACTATGGAGAAGGTAAAGAATGCAGCTTGGATTTGTGAAGGAGCAAAAGCACCTGGTCTTGATAGTTTTAATTTTCTTTTCTACAAGAATGATTGGGATCTAATTGGAGATGATATTTTTTATATGGTGGCTGAATTCTTTAGATTGGTTTCTATGCCAAAAGGAATCAATAATGCATGTGACTTTGCTATCGAAGGTTGTAAGAGTGGAGAAATTATAGGACTACGGACCCATTAGTCTTGTCAATGAGCTCTATAAGATCATAGCAAAGATTCACTCTTTCCACCTCCATCAAGTTATGTCCGAAGTTATTAGTGAGAATAAATCGGCTTTTATTTCTAGAAGGCAAATCTTGGATAGTGTTTTACTTGCTAATGAGGTCATTCATAGTATGAAAAAGCAACATATCAAAGGTTTTACTCTAAAGGTTGATTTTCAAAAAGTCCTCCATTCTATTCTTTTGGAATATTTGGTGAACATCATGGACTACATGGGGTTTGGTACCAAGTGGAGGAGATGCAGCTTTCAGTGCATCGGTACTAGTTAACTATTCTCTTGTGTAGAACTGCAGATGTTAGGATCTTCGATGGCATAGATGTTGGTCATAATTTAAAGGTTAGTTATCTCCAATATGTTGATGATACAATTTTTTTCCCCTCATGATCTAGACATTCTAATGAATGACAAGAGACTTCTATAATAGTTTGAGTTATGTTCGGGTTTGAAGGTTAATTTCTTTAAGAGCTCTTTGATAGGCATCAATGTTATCGAAGGCTATTGTTTGGGTGTGACTAATATTTTGATATGTATACTAGGTCATCATTCCACTAAGTATCTTGGGTTGTCACTAGATGCTAGTCCAAAGCATATGTCAACTTGGTTTGCAGTAATTGATAAAATTAGACACCATTTGAAGACTTGGAAAGGAAAGTTACTTGTCTTTGGGTGGAAGTATTTGTCTTCTCAAATCAATTTAATCTTTTATTATTATTTATTATCTTTGTATTTTAAAATTTCAATTTGGATAGCAAAGAAGATTGTTTTAATTCAATGAAACTTTATATAGAATGGTAGTGGTGAGAAGAAATTAATTTGTAAGGTAGCATCAAATTTTTAGCATGTTCAAAGAGGAAGGGAGGGATTGGCATTGGTTCTCCGATTGCTAAGAACAAAGCTTTGTTGTTTAAATGGATTTGAAGATTTAGTGAATATAGTGATCTAATTGGAGTGAATTTATTTGGCAAAAATTTAATCCTCGAATTTAGAAATGGACTTCCTATATTCAATCATATATTGTCCCTAGTTTGGGCTGGAATTTTTTGCTCTTATACTATTGTTGATCAATGAGTTCATTTGATTAGAGATGGGACAATGAATGTTGCTGGTGGTGATTCGAGCAACTATGTTTTGAGAAGATTCTTAGGTGGGTAGTATGCCACTAAAACATTCTTTTCCTTCTCTTTTTACACTAGGAGATGACGAAATATGCAAGGTGGCGGACGTGAGTTTTTGGTCCGGCTATTTCTAGTCTTGGAAATTCAAATGGAGGCCATTATGTTTGGTATGCCCATAATGCATCCTCCAACCACGTACTCCAATCTTTATGATTTGGACCAACAAATTTCTCAAGGATGGCCTTTATTTCTCGGTTGGAAACTTTTGCTTACCCATTAGTCTAAGGATGGCAAGGAGTACTAATCATATGGGTCACACCGTACTTTTTCATCAAAGCCTCAATGGTTCCGTTGCGAAATGAGTGCCGCAAACGCTCATTATGGCTCTAGGAATACCAAATCTGCAGAATATATTAGATTTAACAAAATCCGCAACAACTTTAGAATCATCAATCCTAGTGGCTTTTGCTTTCATCAAATTAGAGACATAATCAACAACTAATATAATATAAATATAACCAAAAGAAACAAGAAAGGGTCCCATAAAATCAATACCCCGTACATAAAAAATCTCACAAACTAAAATAGGAGTCCGAGGTATCTCATGTCCGTGTGAGATATTACCTATCTTTTGGCAATGCTCACAAGATTTGTAAAAGGAATAGGCATCCCAAAACGATTGGGCCAATAGAAACCGCATTCTCGCATTTTTCTTGTTGTCTTATTGGCCCCAAAATTTCCTCCACATGCATATGAATGGCGAGAAGATAAGAATGAAGGAAATTTCAGCTTTAGGTATGCACCTTCCGATTACTTGATACACAATGTTTCCATAGGTATGGATCTTCCCAAACATAGTATTTGGCATCAATCTTGAGTTTATCCTTTTAGGCTTTAGGAATACCTAAGGGAAGAATGTTAGAGGCTAAATAATTGACAATATGTGCATACCATGGCAGCCGCCCACCGATAGAGAGCAATTGTTCATCAAGGAATTCCTCTCTCAACTTTTCCTCTATTTTCACATGAATCAAACAACTCAAATGGTCAGCTACGTAATTTTCCGCACCACTCTTATCTTTGATTTCTATGTTAAATTCACTCAAAAGTAGGATCCATCACATCAACCTCGGCTTTGCATCTTACTTCATCATTAAATATCGAAGGGCTGCATGATAAGAATACACCACAACTTTGGTATCCAATAAGGAAGAATGAAACTTCTCCAAAGCAAACACAACTCCCGGGAGTTCTTTCTCGGTGGTGAAATAGTTCCTTTGAGCCTCGATCAATGTTATGAATGTAAAGTAAATCATGTGAGATGTTTTGCCCACTCTTTGGCCTAAAACAACCCCTAAGGCATTATCATTTGCATCACACATTATCTCGAAGGGAAGACTCCAATCCGGTGGTTGGATAATCGGTGTTGAGATGAGTATTTATTTCAGCTTGTCAAAGGCTATCTTGGAGTCATCATTAGATCCAAAGCTCACGTCCTTCTACAGCGAGCCTTCACAGTGATTGTGCAATTTTGGAGAAGTCTTTGATGAAATACCGATAGAAACTCGCATGGCCAAGAAAAGAACGGACTTCCCACACATTAGTGGGGTAGGGTAATGATTCAATAACATCAATTTTTGCCTTGTCTATCTCTATTCCTCTAGCTGAAACTATATGTCCTAATACAATGCCTTGTTCCACTATAAAATGATATTTTTCAAAGTTCAAAACAAGATTTGTGTATATGCACCCTTACAACACTAAAGTCAAATTATGCAAACACTTATCAAATGAGTCTCCATGGACCGTAAAGTCATCCATAAAGACTTCTATGATATGCTCTACATAATCTAAAAATATGATTACCATACACTTTGGAAAGTGGCTAGTGCATTGCATGCTACGAATGACATTCGTCTATAAGCACAAATGTCGAAAGGACATGTGAATGTAGTTTTCTCTTGGTCTTCTAGAGCTATAACAATCTGAAAATAGCCGTAATAATCATCTAAAAAGAAGTAGTAGGCATGGTCGAAAGCGTTTCAAGCATCCGATCAATGAAGAGTAGAGAAAAGTGATCCTTTTGGGTTATTATATTCAATCTTCTATAGTCTATGCAAACCCGCCACCCATTTTGAACTCGATGGGAACCAAATCTCCATTTTGATTCTTCACCACCGTGATACCAATCTTTTTGGGAACAACTTAGACCGAGTCAACCTACACAATATCCGAAATTGGATAAATCACCCTAGCTTGTAGTAGTTTTAGAATTTCTTTCTTCACCACTTCCATCATGGGTAGATTTAACCTTCATTGTGGTTAGCAAATTGGCTTGGCTCCCTCTTCTAAAAAATTCGATGTATACATGTAGAGGGATTGATTCCTTTCATGTCGGCAATGGTTCATCCTATTGTCTGTCTTATGTTGTTTTAGTACCTATACAAGTCCGTCCTCTTGTTCCTTCCGAAGCTTGCTTGAGCTAATGGCGGGAATGTCTCTCCCTTTCCAAGATAGACATATTTTAGATGGTTAGGGAGAGGTT